AGGGTACCAGGTTCAAGTCCTGCTTGGAAGCGGAAGGAATTTTTCCAGCCGTGCTGCGACCCACGATACACTTCCAACACGTTAATGGTATCCACCGCAAAATACCATTAATCTCCAAGAACATTACCATGCACTGCATGTCAGCTATTGTGATTCAAATTTGAGTCATTCGTACAGTCTACAACAGGGAGGTTTCACTCTACGTAATTACGTACGAAAATCCGTTTGCCGTGTGCGCTGGGGAGCGAGGGCAACTTTCATACGTAGATCTCTGAACGGATTTCCGTAGGTAAGCTGTTCCCTACGTTGGGTCCTCCGCAGGACTTTTTGAAATATTTGTTGCACTTTCCGGATTTATCCATGGCAACGTTCAAGCCGCGCAAACACAAGGCATACACCACGTGGAAAACAAAATTGAAAACGCGGTTTCGGTTCGTGGTGCATGCAGTGGGAGAAGGCAGCCAACCCGTCTCCAAAGCAACAAAGCATGCTTATCAGTCGTGGAGAAATCACGTAAAGCGAAACCCAACAGCGCTGATTTTTACGTATGAAACTTACGTGCAGTTCCTACGTTCTTTTCATGCGTAATTGCGTAGAGAGAAACCTCCCTAATATCTCTATATTTCCGTATCTCAATTTGAACTGTTGTTGTGTAGCCATTGACAGTTTGCTGCAAGTAAACTTTTGAACAATATCGTTCGAGCCTTTCAAGCACACCTTTATGCTCTTTGCCGTGTGTGTGTGTGTGTGTGCACGTGTGTGTACGTATGTGTACACATGTGTGTATGTATGTGTGTGGATGTGTGTACGTCAAAGTATGTGTGTGTGTGCACGCGTGTGTATATGTGTGTGTATGTGTTTGTGTGTGTGTGTGTATGTATGTGTGTGTATGTATGTGTGTGTATGTATGTGTGTGTATGTATGTGTGTGTGTGTGTATGTGTGTGTGTGTGTGTGTGTGTGTGTGTGTGTACGTGGGTGTATGTGAATGTGGGCATTGTATGCGTAATAATTCCTTTATTGTCCTCAGAGCGAGCGTTAAGAACTTCGCAAGGCGTATCGGCAGTTTCCGCCATAGCAACACGACCAAAACTACCAGCGGAGACTCATACTTTCAACGCAACAATCATGCTACGCTGCGTAACAGAATGAGCTGGTTCGACACCAACTCCGTCTACACGAACAATGATACGGGCGAGCATCGCCACGCCAAGCAGAACTACAGCCTTGCAGCAGCTAACAGTCCAGTGTGCAACGAATCAACGCCCGTCTTTCCGCCCGCTCCCGGTGAACCAGGCGGCGGCGATAAGCTCACTACTGCTGCTGCTGCTCCGAAAGAAGAAAAGGCTCCGGTCTCTACGGTGACTACGGTGCCTATGGTGCATACAGCGGCTTCGGCTCCAGTGTCGGTGCACATGACTCCGTTGGCAATGGCTACCGAAGAATCCCCTCAGTACCACCGCGCTGCGCCCTCTCTCGGCCACATGAGGACTAGGAGTCGATCGCAGATGAGTCTTCTGGACGCGGAGAAAGCCAACGAGGCGCTGAAAAGCTTCACCGACTTCAGCACTATGGGCGACCATGACGCGAAGGACGCGCTCGATATATTCTCCAGTTTCGACCACCACTTTTACAGTGGAAAAGCCGAGGAGAAGAAAAAGAAAGAAATCCCGTCCTCCTCGTCCGCACCGGTGCTGGCTCTGTTGAAATCGAGGATGGGCACAAACAAATCACGCTCCAAAGCAAAACGCAAGAACGAGTTGTCGTCCATTATAAGCAGCCCTGATTTGGTGTACACCACATCGAAGCAGCTACATAATGCGTCGCCGTTGTCTTCTGCGGAGAAAGATTCATGCGCTCTGGTCGCCCCTGAAGAAGGGCATATGGATGTGCCAAGCCGCCCTGCCAAGAACATAGCCCGGGTGTCGCCACTAGCTGTATCGCCACAGCCTTGCACATCTCTCGCAAGTCAGCCTGAACAGAAGGATCAAGGGCAGCAGCCGCAACATGACTATGGATATCAGCAGCAGCAGTCGCAGAACGCACAGCAGCAGAAACAACAGCAATGGTTGCAGCAACAGCGCGTGACACAAGACCAGAGTCTCTCTCAAAAGCGTGACTCTCTACCCCAGCATCAATTTACTCCACGCCGAAGGTCATCGGCACAGGGACTAGCAAACGACGCCTTCCGAGAAGATTCCGGAGAAATTCACGACAACTTTGGTGGTGCTGAGCTGAATCAGCGTGCGCGTTCCTCCATTGACCTAACAGCCTTGCAGAAAGCACCCCCTTCGACGAAGAGGGCACAGTCACCCAGCGCCTCCAGCCTGCCGCGGACACCCAAGAGTGAGCGGTTACGTCACCGCACCACGTCCGATGCCAGCTCAATGATGAGTCGGAGGCGGCAACGCACCACGTCCGACGCCAGCCCCATGATGAGTCGCCGCTCCAAGGCAGCCGCGTCCTCGGGCCACAGTCGGCAAGTGTCCATGTGCGTACAGTGCTTTCTGGACGTAACCATGCGACTAGCCGTTGCCAGGAGCGACGCAACGTGCGAGCACTACCGCGAGCAGCAATTCTGGAATATCTCCGAAGCCGATATTCTCAACGGCATCAACTCCGCTACGAAGGATAAGTTCTTCCACAAACGCACAAAATCCTGGTCGAAAACCGACCGAAACCGATCTCTCGCGAACAAAAATAAAGGAAGTGCCGGCGAACAAGAACAACAACAACAACAACAACCACCACCCCAACAGCGAGTGGGCAGCAGCGCACACAGCATGGATGGACGGCGCAAACAGCGCAAGACTAGCATGGACAGTGCGGGGAGCTCGGCCAGCAACTCTACAACTGCCACCACTGCCTCTGCAACCACTGGACAAAGCGCTGACGACTTACGGCGACAAATGTTTTCCAGTAAAACAGCACTTTGCTAAGTTTGCCGCTGCGGCATAACTTTACTACCACTGGCACAAGACTCATCACTATTATAGAAAGGACTGCTTAGTTAGGACCTGCGCCCATTACTATCCAGGACTGTTTAGTACCCCTAGCTCATCACTTCCCGGACCATATTAACTGTTTAGTCCTGGGTATTTTTTCACATATTGTAGACGAATAGGAGAGGTAACCATGCATACGGTAGCCATGCATACGGTAGCCATGCATACTGCTGGTGCATACGGTATCCATGCATACGATCATGATACTGGTGACCACCACCACAGAAATAGCGGAGGCTAAGCCGTTTTCTTTGCCACAGCTCTAGATGCCGGACGCGGCACGCAACTTTGCTGACGACTTCAGCCACGTGCTGTTTGTCACGGAGCTTATCTGTTGGCTGCGTGTGGTTGTGTGTGTGTGTGGGGGGGGGGGGGGGGGGGGCAGTTTTTCCAGCACAAGTACAGGTAATAATGTGAAAGGTTGCACATGTGTGAACTTTTTCGTAGTAGGTCGATGCGGCAAGCGCGCGAGCGGGTACGAAGAGTCAAGACGGAGTTGGAAAAACATCAGTATTTTAGTATTCCACGTTATGAGAAATATTTGCATAGATCTGCTCTGTTTTGGTCGCGTTTGGACGGATCTTCGTAGCAACTTTCGTTACTCAAACCCGGACGGTCGAAACGTTACGAATTGCCGTTGTGCGCAACCTCTCTAATGTGATGAATGGCCACAGAGAGAAAGCAATCATGGCTGATGATAATGATTGGAATGCTAACAAGTTACAACGGTGTGTTTAGCGACAGTAAGGCAGACATAAGAAGAGCAGACAAGAGGAGCATGACAATTGTGCACAATACTACTGCTTGCAGATAGTCACGACGGGAAATGGAGCAGGCCAAAGAAAAGGGGAACAAGTTCCGAAAGGTTACGGTGGATTGCGTGCAGTTCTGGATGCACTGGTTACCGAGTGCTGAGTGTGTGTGTGGGGGGGGGGGGGGGGGGTGCGTTCATGCGTGCGTGCGTGTGTCTGGAACCTAGCATAATAATATATTGCCATGCATGGTGGACACAGAAGCACATTGTATTGGAGTGCAAGCAAAACAGAAGCTGAGAAGGGGATATTAGTCACAAGCACAGGTGCTCTCTTACTGTCCTGGGATCGCACTGCCAAACACGATAAGGTATGGCCGCTGCAGGACTCTCTACTACTGCTGCCCACATGATCACAGAATGATAGCACTGCCCCCGGTACATGCTGGTGCTTGCTATGGGGCAGGACCGGCTTACTATGGGGCAGGGCCAGCTTGCTATGGGGCAGGACCGGCTTACTATGGGGCAGGGCCAGCTTGCTATGGGGCAGGGCCAGCTTACTATGGGGCACGGCCAGCTTGCTACGGGGGAAGGGCCAGCTCACTACAGGGCAGGACCAGCTTACTATGGGGCAGGATCAGGTGACTATGGGGCAGGACCGGCTTACTACGGGGCAGGACCGGCTGTAGTTGGCGGCGGAGTGAAACCGGTGCAGTGCTGAGTGAGGGTATCTGTATAACAAGACAACAACGTACAAACAAGATGGAACCTACTTTTAAGACAGGCACGGAGACAGATAGTCATTCTTGTTGAAGAAGGGTAAGTGACAAAGGACCATGAAGTGAGACGGACGAATGGACGGGTGGATGAAAAAAACGCACACCCATTCATAAGAGACAGATGGACAGACAGCCAAACATACAGATGGATAACAGGCCAGGAGGTAAGAGATAGAGATAGAGAGAGAGACAGGGAGACAGAGAGGCAGAGACAGAGAAAGCAGCTGGAAGACAGAGGTCAATAGACATAGTCGTAAATTATGTTGAAACACACACAACTGGGTGGGTTTTGTCTACACAAGTACTCACTGGTTCGCCAGGCTTCATAAAGTCGCTCCCAGTTCTCGAAGCGACCGCGCCATCTCTCGTCTGTGTGGGGGATACGTCATACATATACAGTCAAACCTCGTTAGGACGTACTTCAAGGGACTGAACAAATTTGTTTGTCTTATCGGGAGTTCTTCTTATCCAGACCTGACAAAAAATCGATATACATATCATATGGATTGTATTTACGTGAAGGTGCATGCTGTGGTACATGGAAGCATGTTATTCTTAGCATAAGCCAGAAACAGGTAAGTACAATTAATGACAAAGTGCAATGAATCACGACTGTGTCGAAAGTTCGTACAACGCACTGATCGATTTGCTCAAAACACGCTTGAAAACAATTTGCACTGTACGTACAATATGATCTCGACTATTGAAAAAAAGAAGAAGAAAAAAGGCAGCCAGCCAGCGTAGTCTACGCGCACGCTCGTGGACCGAAAGTTCGTCGTCGCTATATGTACATGACCACACTGACTTTTTTCAAATCACACTTGAAAATAGTTCGTCTTCGCGAAAGTTCGCTGTACAGAAGTTCGTCATAAACGAATAATTTTGACTTGAATTGATGCCTGGCCAACCATAGGATTGGCCTTAGTTCGTACTAATGGAAAGTTCGCCTTATCAGTGTTCGTCCTAACGAGGTTTGACTGTACACGAGTATCCATAGTTCAATACACACACCTTGCCTTGCATAGGCATTAAGGTGTTGCCAAGAGTATTACCCCCGTCCCCTCTGGTGTCATGAAGGGACTTTCCCCGAGCGCTGGCCATGCACAGTGTCAGCTTGTCACACTAGAATTCTACAAACGTTACACTCAAACTCTGGTTAGAATCAGCAATGTATAGAGAAGCACTCAAGCATTCCGCATTGGCAGGCCACGCCTATAGCCGGTCATAGGCAGCTCCCTGATAGAGTGGTGTCACATCTTTGTCATGTGGCTATACAGTCGACCTACCCTTATAACGATATTTGTGTCCAACCAAGAAATATTGTTATAAGGGGCCGTCCGGGGTTACCGATTGTTTTTTCAAAACGAAAAGATTTCGTTTGGGGGTGGGTGGGTTTTGGGGGTTTTCGTTTTGAAAATAATTATTGAATGCACAAACCACGAGCCATGTACGAGTGTAATGTGTATGATATTGTCGTACAAGCACTCAGCTCACACAATATTATGTAGGTCTACATGATTGTATCTGTAGACGGACACAGCGCTTGGAAGCACTCAGTCCTGGTGCTTTCCGAGTACTGGTACAAGATCATCCGGCCATCTTGTCACCACACGATCATCGACAGCACAGGCAAATAAATGTCGAACGGACGACAAGATAAAAGTAACCCAGTGGAAATGGAGCACCTCTCGACACCTACCGTGGCACGAGTCTATCCTTCCTGGCATGACTGTCGTCACCGTCAGGGTCCTCAATCTCGCGGAGGGCTTTCTTCCATCAAAAAGGTCAAGCCCAAAAGGAGAAAAATAATCACGGCTTCCCAGTAGATTTTTGGTCGAGTCGTGGAGATCATACGCGACTGCACCAAAAAGTACTGTGGATGTGAAGCTTGGTAGTCGACTGCATGCAATGCGCCGTTTCGGGCTACATCGTGTGCGTGCATGCACTACCAACCTAGCTGCATGCAACGGATTTGGGAGCTGGCCTTGTCGTAGATCTACACCTGGGCAAAGTAGGTGGCCGAGGTGTGATTTTGAGCACCACTCGTAGATCTACATGTAGATCTACTACTCGTACAACTTTTTTTGTAGTCACTGCATCCAGTGAGCGCTGCACTCTGCCTACGCAGCCGAAGCGCACTTGCCACCGATGTACCTACGAAGACTGTGGCGACGCATTTTCCACGCTGTACCAGCTTCAGCAGCATAAGAAGTCAACCGGACACATCCTTGGACGAGGTCGTCCAAGGAAATCTTGAACACTGTGTATCATGTCGTGTATTTTGATAATGCTACGGACAGTGCAGATGTTTTTTGATTTCTCATACAGCTAGCTGTCTCTTGTACATACCTCTCTGAGCTGTATGCTTTACCTATCTTGACTGGGTTCAATTTCGTGATGATAGCCTTCATGAATCATATTGTATACATGGAATATACCAGGTTGTGATTATTGAAATCAATAATTTAATATATTTCGTTCTAGATGCAGAAAGGGTGGGTGGGTGGGTGGGGGCTGAAAAATACTAAATCTTTTCGTTTTGAAAAAACAATCGGTAACCCCGGACGGCCCCTAAGGGTAATAACTTATAAGGGTAACTGGTTCATTCATACAGTAACACATACGTCATAATGCATGAATTTAGTTCATTTTTACACTCTTCATAGCGTAAAAAAACTAATGTACATGCACATTACGTACACAGCAAGGTGCCCACTGGTGCCCTCATCGCATTTCGTCATGTCCCAGCGACTTCTCAAGTGAAGCTTGCCCTAACCTCACAGTGGACGGTACATATTCCCTGCTGGATATTTTTATAAAATGGAAAATGTCGATTGGTCTGCCCATTTTTTTTTATTGTTATAGGGGTAATATCGTTATAGCAATATCGTTATAGAGGTAAGGCATTGTATGCAAACGTCAATGGAGTGATTTGGTTTGACAGAAAAATATCGTTATAAGGGTAATATCGTTATAGGGGTTATCGTTATAAGGGTAGGTCGACTGTAATTGTGTACTTCAAAAGTAGAAAGTGATCATGTCAGTGAAACCAACATGGCCGACATCATGTGACCCGTACATGCAGGGACTGAGTGGAGTTGGAACCAACATGGCCGACGTCATGTGACCCATACATGCAGGGACTGAGTGGAGTTGGAACCAACATGGCCGACATCATGTGACCCATACATGCAGGGACTGAGTGGAGTTGGAACCAACATGGCCGACATCATGTGACCCATACATGCAGGGACTGAGTAGAGTTGGAACCAACATGGCCGACATCATGTGACCCATACATGCAGGGACTGAGTAGAGTTGGAACCAACATGGCCGACATCATGGGACCCATACATGCAGGGACTGAGGCCTCATTTACACGACAACGATTGAAAAACGTTTTTCAATCGTTTTCGAAACGTTTTTGCTGTTTACACGAAAACGATAATCGCGTACACTGCAACACGTTTTTCGGCGCGCAATGGTCACGTGCAAGAAGTTGGCCTGGCGCAGGCTGGCGGCGGCATGTTTCGAGTACAGGGCTCGTACTAGAAAAACGTTTTTGCCGTTTACACGAGAACGAAACGGAACGAAAACGATTGAAAAACACTTTGAAGGCCGTTTTTTGTTTGAAACATTTTTGAAACGTTTTTCAGCGTTGTCGTGTAAACGCTCTTATCCAAATCTGTGGAAGCGTATTCTTTTGAAAACGTTTTTGACAAAAACGTTTTTCAATCGTTGTCGTGTAAACGAGGCCCGAGTGGAGTTGGAACCAACATGGCCGACATCACGTGACCCATACATGCAGGGACTGAGTGGAGCTGGAACCAACATGGCCGAAATCATATGACTCATATATGCAAGGTTGGGTGGAGTTGGATTCAAAATGGCTGCCCCACGGCATGGTCATGTGACATATGTGAAAGCATTCTCTACTTGGACAGAGGTGACACCCCCTAGGCTGAAGCAGCGCCATACAGCACCAAACGCAGCCGCATTGTTCACTGACATACAACGGTCACACAGCTGTCATACAGACTTACACTCAGCCGTGCTGGGACACGAAGTAGTCGGTGTGTCGGTGTACGGTCGGCTAGTCGGAGCTGGCGGTGACGTGGGCTTGTGGGTCTGCGATGATACGCCAACATAGACTAGAACACACACACACACACGAACATACACACACACACACACGCACACACATAAACACACACACACACACACACACACAAACACACACACACAGTACATAACCGCCCAAGAGCGTGTGGTCCAGCTATAAGGTATGCAATGGCAGAACTTCACATCACGCGATGAACCCGTACACATTTTTCGCACCCTGTGCATAATAGATGCAGTGCTTTGAGTTCAACCCTCTTGTGGCCACTTTGCACTGTTTGCCAGCGTAACATTTTGACCTATGTCAATTGATATGAAGTTCTGCCGTTGCAGCACTGTATTGAGGTTGCAGAGGCAGTTGCACACTCTTTGGGGGTTATGTACTCTTGCAAGTACTAGTCGTACTGTACCAAGAGGTATAACCCCCCAGAGTGTGCAACTCCAACATACCCTGCTGTCCCGACAGAATTTCAAGTTGACGTCATTATTAATTATTAATTTTTATGATGCAATGCTCCTTGCACCAGTGATTTACAACATGTGTACGGGTGTCAACGCCTCACACGCTTTCTTTGCAACAATTTTTACAGGATCAGATGGGCTTTGATCCACCACAGGTTCCGGATTCGTCTGATAATCCGTGTACAGTGCGCATTGCATCATAGAAATGACGTCAACTTGAAATTCTGTAGGGACAGCACCCATAGTCGAGTTGCACACTCTTTGGGGATTATGTACTCTTGGTAGGGGTACCTAGTGAGCTGTGTTGAACTCACCTTCACATCTAGTACCGGCATAGCCGTGTGAACAGCTACAGGAGAAGCCCCCGCTGTAGTAAGGTGACAGGTAGCAACTACCACCGCTGTAACAAGGGTTGGGATTGCACGCCGCTGACGCCGTCGAGGACACTGTCGGGAAAGTGGGTGACGGCGTGACGGTGTGCTTGGTACCTCCTGGGTAGGTGCTGGTCGGCGATATTGTTCCCGGGCTTGGAGCTGCACAGGGAACAAAAATAATGGAGAAAAATTGCAATTTATAAATTTGGAAATTATATGCTTAGATACAACCCTCTGGCCGTCACGCTGCAGTATTTGCTCTTGTACAAGTAACAATGAAATTGAAGACACCACTGCAGCTGTACTTATGGTTGATAAATATGGTGGTAAAGACACACCTGGCAATATGGCGGTAAACACACGCCTGCCCACACACGCTCTCTAGGCTGCAAAGTTCTGGCACAGAGCTCTCCTTCTCACCACCACCACCACCATCAGTTCGCGCCTGGCGCCTGGTCGATGCATGGCTGGCGGTATCCGGCATAGTAGGCTGGTACATCAAGTAGCGCATGGCACATAGATGATGACACAGCAACGACATAGCTCGATTGCGACGTACGTTTCGTCCCCGCTGGACTCATCAGGCAATCTTCTTCTTGGATGTCTTCATACGGAGCTTGACTCGGGAGAATGAAATTGAAGACACCACTGCAGCTGTACTTATGGTTGATAAATATCTATGTGCCATGCGCTACTTGATGTACCAGCCTGCTATGCCGGATACCGCCAGCCATGCATCGACCAGGCGCCAGGCGCGAACTGATGGTGGTGGTGGTGAGAAGGAGAGCTCTGTGCCAGAACTTTGCAGCCTAGAGAGCGTGTGTGGGCAGGCGTGTGTTTACCGCCATATTGCCAGGTGTGTCTTTACCACCATATTCAACCATATGTACAAGTAACAGCCTGTGATCTGGTGTGAACTGGTCAGAACTGGTACAGACACATGGAGAGTCTCGGGTCACGTAGGTGTTTAAATACACGCCAGTGAACCTGGGAATCCATAATCACTCCAGCTCTACAAAATATACACTTTAATCTGCAAAAAACAGACTTTCTACCAACTCTACCAACTCGCAACCACTGTTTCTACCAACTCTACCAACTCCAGGAAATACTAGTAGTCAAGTGTAAAGTCAAGTGTAAAGTCAAGTGTAAAGTCAAGTGTAAAGTCAAGTGTAAAGTCAAGTGTAAAGTCAAGTGTAAAGTCAAGTGTAAAGTCAAGTGTAAAGTCAAGTGTAAAGTCAAGTGTAAAGTCAAGTGTAAAGACTTTACACTTGACTTTACGCTTGACAGACCAGCGCTTTGGCAGAGTGGTTGTGGGCTTGCCTGCGAATCACAAGGTCCCGAGTTCGAGACCTGGCTGGGAGCAGGGGCGTGTACTGTGCTAATGCGGTGATGCATGCGTGAACCACGTTACATGCAGGGAACTGCGCCGACACCCACGGTCAACTGGGTACTCACTACTCGGAGTGAGGGTAACATGGATGCAGGTAACGAGGTTCGTGGTTCGCCCCCTTGTCGGGCATTGGTTGTGAGACTTACCACCTCACCCTCGCCGTTAGGCGCTGCATCTGCCACCCTGGTATCACAGGCAAGGTGGTGGCCTGGCACGAGCGAAACTTCCTAACCTGGTTGTGTTTCTCGATACAATTGTATCGCCGGTGGTAACACGGACGTGCAAACTTTTACACTTGACTTTACTCTTACTACTAGATGATCAAATACACGGTGATAAATACTAAATAGGATACTAGTAGATGTCTGTATTTCGTGGCAAAAAATGGGGTCTGCGCTTTATACTCCGGAACATACAGTACATGTTAGCTTACCTGTGCAGTGGGTCCCGGCCCAGCTGGGAGGACAACTGCAGTAGTAGCCGAGAGAGTAGGCAGCCGATGGGTAGCAAACACCGCCATTGAAGCACGGGTTAGGGCTGCACGTCGACGTGGACGTAGTCGTGGCACTGGGATGAGAAGTGAACGGTGGAGCTGGATACGGAGTTGTCATGGCAGCTACAGCTGCACAATAGAACAGTGTTGAAGAAAGTACAAACGCACCCGATCAATGGCCATATGCCGCACAGAGATTACCCATGCATAGAGATTACCCATGCACAATAAGTTATCTGCTCCCGGCCGCTCATCCTGGTTGAACGGGCTTTGATGACCAGGGACACGCACTCACAAAGAGACAGATACACAGACAGACAGATGGACGGACAGACAGGCAGATGGACAGACAGGCAGATGGACAGACAGGCAGACAGACAGACAGACAGACAGAGCCTCCATGTGTTTCAATGTGTTTTAAAGGTGGAACAGGTAGAGCAGGTTTTACACTCTTGGAAGTTGGAGGCAAAACACCCGGGCTTACTTGAACCACTGGGCATGTACTGGCTGCAGTGGGTTCCAGTCCAGGGCGAGTAGCAGTGGCAACGGTAGCCAGGATAGAAACTTGACGGCACGCAGCTACCGCCGTTGAAGCACGGGTCAGGACTGCATACGGCCTGGGACGCAGTGGGGCTTGGGGAAGCACTGGTCGGAGGTGTTGAGTCTGTTGTCGATACAGTAGGTTCCGCTGGACAGGAACATCGGCAAGGCAAGGTACAATAGTGCTAAACACAATGCGACAAGACGTTGTCAAAGAATCGATGTTTGGAACAAATCCCAATTGCAACATCTTGATAAAACACTCCTCCATAGGATTAACGTGCTGAACAACATACGGTACGAGTTCGCTCGTACTTACGATTGCATTTGAAATCTCTGTAGTACGGAGTCGGGCGTATCACGTGTTGATAGATTTCTCCAGTGCTCTCGTTGTACCTTCCTGCCGCGAATGAAATATAGATACGACCGGCTATGGAGACATCTTGGGGGTCCTTGCTAGCGTTACAGCTGACTGTGAACGCATACCTGTATTGGAAAGACAGTACATGTTCATGTCTAGTGTTGTTAGTACAACATAGGTTACAAGACAACCTCATTAGTAGACAACCATCCAAAATCCTCTGACATCTCAAACGCGTACACGTCCGGATAGTAGATAATACTCGCATATAGACACATTTTTGAAATCTCCCCAGGTTTTCTACTAACGAGGCTAGACCTGTATAGACAGACCGGCAGGCATGCTTGCTTTATCGGTGAATCACCAGCATCATCATAGCGCCAGAACTCACCATGGCATCATTGTGGAATCACCACCGCACACACATGATGCCATGATTCACTATGACATCTTGAAACAGGACAAACTAAATTCCAGATTCCAATATCACATCATCGTGGAATCACCATGACAATCTCAAAGCCAGAAAATACTATGACATCACCAAAGGAATCGCCTTTACACATCATGCCAGAATACACTTTGACATGATTGTGGAATCATCACGACAAAATCACAATGTCAGAATGCACTATGACATCATCATGCAATCACTATGACATCATCGTGGAATTACTATGACATCATCATGGAATCGCCATTACACATAACAAGTTAGAAGTCAAGTAAACAGGTGAGTGTGTTAGGACTTGAAACAGCCATAGATATACCTGCTTGTGTTAGCGTATTGCCAGTATTCTTGATTCCTTGGTCGATCATAGAGCAGATCAGAATCACGCACTGGAGCACTATAGCTATATGCATACCTGAGCAGAACGAGGTGAGGGAAAAAGTAAATTTTAAATGGCAAGAAAAATAGCAAACTTCAAAATCTCCAATGAGAGGTGGCCAAGAGATGCCAAACCCACTGAACCACATGCGGGTACACACCGTGAAGTGCTGACGGGATTGTAACACTACGAAATAGAGACCGGCAGAGTCGGTGATGCACCGGAGCGCGAAAATCAGGTGTCGGACTTCAGTTGCCACCATGGTGGCTAAGACTGAAGGATGCAACAACAAATGCTGTGTTCTACTTACCGATCTTCACAGTGGGAGTTATAGCAGAGGAGCACATCAGAATTGGGCTGCAGGCACCGGGAGAAAAAGGAACGATTCGGTAAAGAATGAACAGCAGAAAACAAGGGCATTGTCAGAGCAGATGCGGGTGGTGCATGGGTCTGCAGACTGCAGAGTCATGTATACATGCACAGAGGCCTTAATCCATGCTTTTCCTTTCTGAAGTCAAGAATTCTTAAAAAATAATAGACCTGCCCCGAAAGTCATGACCCAGCAGCATGACGAAGCAACGCACTTAGCCAACCTCCTCCCCCAACCAGAGGCCAAAGGCCGAAATCCATTTGGCACACTCATGTTTTCCTCGTGCTAGGCCACAAGTTCCCAATTCACTGTGGATCGCAGCACTTCAAGGGAATCCACAAGTTATTTACCATAAATGCATCCTCGGAGAGAGCAGCCGCCACGTAGAACCCTGGCCTGTCGGTCCCCAGAACAATGGTAATGTTACTATCGCCACGTCTCTCTCCAATCTCAGCCCACACGTCACAGTTGACATGCGGTGTACACGGGTTCGGCTGGTAGTAAAAACTACACGAGTCACCGGATGTCAGACAGCGAGTGCTGGGGAATTCCACTGGGAAACAGGAACAGGGACAAACACAAGAGGAAAAAACTAACTAGCACGCAAAACCACCATTTGGAATTGCAATTTACACGAGTTGCTGTTGCAGATGCGTGTAACGTCAGTGGCCAAAACAGAAGAGAAAACAACAAAAGCAATAGTGCCAAATCTCTCACAGGAAAACAAAAAAACTTCCTCTCTCCAGGAGCACAAGTCACAGGTAACCAGGCACATTTGAACTTTGTAAGCAACTACCCTGCAATGCTCAGGCTTCCAAGTCTATGTTATTTTGGCTCACCGTCTATTACAATTCATTTCTGCCCAGGATGGATTCTCTACCCGTAACCAGCAAACTCAACACTCAATCATGCTTGGTACTCACATGGTCCCTGTGATGTGGCGGGTGAAGGCGGAAAGGTTGGGAAATTTGTCGATGCTTGCGACGTAGATTGCCCCGTATGAATACCACTGGTAGACTGTGGGCCGCTTGCAGCTCCTGTTGCTGGTGCAGTTGTGTCGAATATAGAATCTGTTTTCACGCATGGGAGCAGAGACATGCATGCCGGAATGTGCACACATAATCCAAGGACAAAACAGCATTGGAGCAGATACTGGCATGCTGACATACGCACACATTCATGCACAAACATAAGGGACGGAACACATCCACCCGTATGTCATGTACATGTGAATACATTTCTTTAATGTAAAAGTTACGCAAGCTCCACTGCAGCCACTTCATTACATTAAAAGCCCTACACACACCATCCTCAAATCAAGTGTCACTAATATCTCAATTAAATTTTTGGCCAGGAGCCTTCATCAGGATTATATGTAGATACAGACGGCAGAAAGTCCGTTGCATACCCTGACATCGTAAATCACTCGATTACGCATGGAACACAAAGTCCGTTGCATACCCTGACATCGTAAATCACTCGATTACGCATGGAAACCATCTTCTTCAGAAACTGTAAAATATGTACATGTACTTGTAATAAAACTACTTGGGCTAAGCAGGTCTCCAATGCTGCAGGCTATCTACACTTTATCTATACTGCAGGTTATCTATACTGCAGGTTATCTATACTGCAGGCTATCTATACTGCAGGTTATCTATACTGCAGGTTATCTATACTGCAGGCTATCTATACTGCGGGCTATCTATACTGCAGGTTATCTATACTGCAGGTTATCTATACTGCAGGCTATCTATACTGCAGGCTATCTATACTGCAGGCTATCTATACTGCAGGCTATCTATACTGCAGGTTATCTATACTGCAGGCTATCTATACTGCGGGCTATCTATACTGCAGGTTATCTATACTGCAGGTTATCTATACTGCAGGTTATCTATACTGCAGGCTATCTATACTGCAGGCTATCTATACTGCAGGCTATCTATACTGCGGGTTATCTATACTGCAGGCTATCTATACTGCGGGCTATCTATACTGCAGGTTATCTATACTGCAGGTTATCTATACTGCAGGTTATCTATACTGCAGGCTATCTATACTGCAGGCTATCTATACTGCAGGCTATCTATACTGCAGGTTATCTATACTGCAGGTTATCTATACTGCAGGTAAGACAACACTACACAAATTCTGTAAGAAGCTACAAGCACAAGCACAGACTGCATTGCCGCAACAAGAAACAAACTGATCGTGGAACTGGAAGCTAAATGTGCCATACTCATCGATCCACGCTCGAACTGCGTCCCACATGTTCTCTGTGCGCTCAGTTCATGCTCAAAGTCGTGACTGTTCACACAGAGACCAGTCCATACTTCACACGGAGAACGGTATAAAAAAATCCGTATGAAACTAACTCGATCTCGAACCGCAACGAGGATTTCATACGCACTTTGGTACGTTTTACCGTGTACCCGAAACTCTCTGATACCGACAATGAGCAGGCAGGTGTATGTGTTATCTGTATGCTTCATCTCAATCAGTTCAATGACAACGCTGTAACTCCCATATGCCACACTAGCATAGACAGGCTATTAAAGAGAATCCAGCGGAAAGCCACACAATTATTCCTCTGCCTCCCTCTCTACACCCATATTAACCACTCTGACCTTCTCTTCTGCATCAAGTGGCCCACTCTCTTCTCCCGCTTTAAAGTTAAACACATAGCGTTTGCTCACTCCATCCACCACAATTACGCCCTGCCTCATATTCTAATGCTCGCAAGCCCAAATCGTGTCAATACAGGCTATAGCTTTTGGCACACTCACCCTTGGCATTTGCCAACTGTAAGAACCGACCGCTGCCTGGGTTCCCCTCTGTACAAATCTCTCCATTATTTCAATGGCCTCTCATCAACGTTACACAATATTCAATCACCAGCTTTGCTTAAGCAAACGATATCATCCCGGCTGCTAAATTCAATCTGCTCATGTAAGCAAACGATGTCATCCCGGCTGCTGAATTCAATCTGCTCATGTAAGCAAACGATGTCATCCCGGCTGCTGAATTCAATCTGCTCATGCACGAGCCACGCTCACCGATACATCTAGTTTGATCACTGCTAGCCATGCAATTTCCGCATCATACTAATCTCAATATAATAATAATCTCTTATTGGCCACAGGCCATCGTGAGAATAAAGATATGACACAGCAGTACTAGTCCATACGTTCGCATTGTAAGCCATTGTATCCGTACGGACAAGAGCAATATCCCGCGGTAACATATTATCCACCGTTGTAACACGTTAATCCTGTGGATGTAGAAGATGATACTGTGGCTGGCTGTGCAGTTAGTGGATGTGTGGAGTGTGATGGCTGGGTACTGTGTTGTTGTGCAGTTAGTGGATGTGTGGAGTGTGATGGCTGGGTACTGTGTGGCTGTGCAGTTAGTGGATGTGTGGAGTGTGATGGCTGGGTACTGTGTTGTTGTGCAGTTACTGGATGGGTGGAGTGTGATGGCTGGGTACTGTGTTGTTGACCTGAAGCAGTACAACAAACCGCACACAGCGCAAAGATAGCTTGTGAACTCCATTCATTTCATCATGTGTGTGTGTGGGTGTATGTGTGTGTGCGCGCGCGCGTGTGCGTGTGTGCAGAAAAAGTACGGTACATACCACTGGTAGACTGTGGACTGCTTATACCACCTGTTGCTGGTGCAGTGGTGTCAAATATGGAATCTGTTTTCACGCATGGGAGGAGGCACACAGACACAGACACACACACACACACACACACACACACACACACACACACACACACACACACACACACACACACACACACACACACACACACACACACACACACACACACACACACACACACACACACACACACACACACACACACACACACACACACACACACACACACACACACACACACACACACACACACACACACACACACACACACACACACACACACACACACACACACACACACACACACACACACACACACACACACACACACACACACACACACACACACACACACACACACACACACACACACACACACACACACACACACACACACACACACACACACACACACACACACACACACACACACACACACACACACACACACACACACACACACACACACACACACACACACACACACACACACACACACACACACACACACACACACACACACACACACACACACACACACACACACACACACACACACACACACACACACACACACACACACACACACACACACACACACACACACACACACACACACACACACACACACACACACACACACACACACACACACACACACACACACACACACACACACACACACACACACACACACACACACACACACACACACACACACACACACACACACACACACACACACACACACACACACACACACACACACACACACACACACACACACACACACACACACACACACACACACACACACACACACACACACACACACACACACACACACACACACACACACACACACACACACACACACACACACACACACACACACACACACACACACACACACACACACACACACACACACACACACACACACACACACACACACACACACACACACACACACACACACACACACACACACACACACACACACACACACACACACACACACACACACACACACACACACACACACACACACACACACACACACACACACACACACACACACACACACACACACACACACACACACACACACACACACACACACACACACACACACACACACACACACACACACACACACACACACACACACACACACACACACACACACACACACACACACACACACACACACACACACACACACACACACACACACACACACACACACACACACACACACACACACACACACACACACACACACACACACACACACACACACACACACACACACACACACACACACACACACACACACACACACACACACACACACACACACACACACACACACACACACACACACACACACACACACACACACACACACACACACACACACACACACACACACACACACACACACACACACACACACACACACACATGCACCCAATCAGTCATGTAAACACATTCCCAGCTCATGCATGTGAAAATGAAACGGGGACGGCAGTCTTCGCCTTCAATTTATAATGCCCAGTTGTGTTTCCCTATAGTGTTTTTTGTGAATAGAGAGTCTTGCAATGCACCCCCATAGTTAATCGTCCGAGCATTGAAGCGGCACAGGGCTAGGTGCAGCAAGAAAACAGCGTCAAACGTCTGAGTGTGAAGATGACATGGGGCTGGCAGTAATAAGCACAGAATCCGTCAGTCACAACATACCTAAGAGAATTTTCATACGGGACATTCTATACGTTAGTGTGGAGTGTGTGGAGTTCATCTAATTTCAGAAATTTTCGGTGCTCAATATTTTCGGTATGAGGGCAAAAAGGACAGGTTAGGTGAACAGAAAGTTTAGGTACAGAGAATAGGATAGGTATGAAACAAATGCACCGAAGGTACCGAAAATAAAAGTATAACGAAAATTTGTGAAGTAACAGTATACAGTACACGCACCCCCTGGTTAATGTCCATGCTAAGACCCCGTACACCGTATCCTGGACAATGCATGCTAAGCAAAGTTTTGAAATCTTTCATTTTCACGAAAGTGACTGTGTTACTGTTGTACATGTATGTACCTGGAGAGTAGTTGTACTGCACGCGTGCATGCACATGTGAAAACCCTGAGTGCCAGGCAATGGGACATTCAGACCTCTAACTTTGTGCATTATGCATCGCTAGCTTTGTGCATTATGCATCGCTAGGTTTGTGCATTGTGCACCGCTAGTTTTCTGCACTATGCATCGCTAGCTTTGTGCATCAGGATCGACTTTACTTCACCGAACAGTACATACGTTCACATTGTACTCCGTAGTATCCGCACGGACAAGAGCGTGTGTGTGTGTGTGTGTGTGTGTGTTTGTGTGTGTGAGTTGTAGTTGAAGAGGTCGGTTGCACTTTTCTGGGCTCTGACCGAAATGGAAGGATAGCTGCGTTTGCAGCCATGGCTGTGTGGTGTAGACCAGGCCATGGTTGCTGCAGCGTGTCCCAGTGGATTTGCGCTCTGCTGAGAGTAGGTACACAAGCACAAGCGAGACGAGACAGTGTTTCTTGTTTGAAAATTTTTCAAATTTTCGAATAGTTGTGGACGAGGATGAGGACGATGAGGAAGTCGAGGAAGGAGCGAGAGACTCTTTATGGCGAGCTGAAATGTCCAGTCCCTTGTAGAGGACACAGGTGATGCCAGGATATGGAGAAAAAACAAGTCAGTGTCGCGAGTGGACAGAGGTCTGGACTTTTTGTCGGCGGAACTCGTAAAATTCCGTGTCGGAGTTGCGGGAATTCAAGAGACGAAGTGGTTCGGCAGTGATGTGTGGCCCATCGGCAATTGTACCTTCGTTCATTCTGGTCGCCCAATCCCAACAGGGGAGAACCAGCCCGACGGAACGAGGGTGTTGGAATTTGGATGAATCCAGAGATGTCGGCGGCGTGGCGGCGTGGCGGAGAACAGTGGGACCCCGTAAGCTCGCGCATCGTCACGGCTCGTATCCTACTTCACGCGAAGGGGGACAAACTACCCCGCGGAGATCGATGTCACCGTGATCAGTAACGAAGAGACACAAGCGCAGCCACATGTACAACACTTGTCTGTTATCAATATCTATGCGCCCACCAACAAAGCGACATTCAGCGTGAAGGAGACATTTTATAGACACCTACAGACGATCGGTGACAAAGTCAACCGTAACGACATCTTTGTACTCCTGGGCGATTTCAACGCCAGAGTAGGGTCACGCGGAACTGGTGATTTTGGGGACAGGTATGACGATAGGCCCCCCTGGGATCAGATCATTGGTGACTTTGGTCTTGGTCAATGTAATCAGGCTGGTGAGGATTTATTGTTGTTCTGCGCAAGGAACTCACTATGCGTTTTGAATACCTGGTTTCGGAAGGAGCTACGCAAGCGTGGAACCTGGACTCATCCTGCCACACGTCAACTACACCTGATTGATTATGTCATTATGCGACAGGATCAGCACGTATACTGTCAGGATGTCTCTGTCATGCGTGGCGCGTCATTTTGGTCTGATCACTACATGGTCCGTGCACGTTTGGCTCTGAGTCGTGGTGCTCCACCGCGCAATGGGCGTACAAGTGGCAGCGGCAACCGGAAGCGTTTTGACATGAGGAGTCTGCGGAACACTGATGTTTGTACAGCTTTCCAGGATAGTGTTCAGGAGCGTCTGGCCAGGGATTCTGCAGTGCCCAGAGAGTCGGTGGAGTCTATAGATCTAGAGTGGTCTGGCATCCGTGACGCTGTTACGTCTGCTGCCTCTGACATCATTGGTTTTGGTAAACGTGTTCAACCAGACTGGTTCTTGGAGAGCAGCTCGACTCTTGAGCCGCTCATTGATGCCAAGAATACCTGCCATCAAGCGTTGTTGTCAAACGATACAGTTGATACTCGGAAAGCCTTTCGACAGGCACAACGTACAGTGGCAAAGGCTGTGCAGATGGCGAAGGAAAACTGGATATCAGAGGTAGTTCGTGATGCTGAGGAGGCTCAGAAAGATGGGCGCACTCGCTGGAAGTGCATCCGGAAGCTGCAGGAAATTGAGAAGGGCAGAACTTCAAAGCATACATCTGCTGTGCTGGATGAGAACGGCAACTTGATCCAAGATGCGGATGCTGTTCGTGCTCGTTTCGGACGGCACTTTGAGACGGTGTTAAATACGCAGAGCCAATTTGACCAACACACTGTTGACAGCATGCCTGCATTGGATTTTCGTGAACATCTGGACGACGTCCCTAGCATCGAGGAGCTCCAACGTGCACTTCGCCGTATGAAGAATGGCACAGCCAGTGGTCAATCAGGCATTCTGCCAGAGCTGATTCGTTGTGGTGGTGAACATTTGTTGGGTCGCCTCCATGAGTTCATCGTTAGGGTTTGGGAAACTGGATCGGGATCGGTCCCTGCTGACTGGCGTGATGCAGAGATAGTCCCCATTCCCAAGAAGGGTAACCGGCATAGCTGCGATAACTGGCGTGGCATCAGCTTGCTCGATGTTGTGGGCAAACTGTTTGCTCGCATGCTCCAGGACCGGCTTGAGCCACTCGCTGAAGACTGGCTACCAGAGTCTCAGTGCGGTTTTCGGAAGGGTAGGGGCTGCATCGATATGATCTTTGCTGCCCGCCAAGTACTCGAGAAAGCCATTGAACATCAATCTGATCTGTACGTCTTGTTTGTGGATCTACGCAAGGCGTACGACTCGGTCCCCCGAACAGCGCTTTGGCTGGTCCTGCAGAAACTCGGTGTGCCTCCGCGCATGCTTCAGGTGATCCGGTCTCTTCACGAGGGTATGATGGCGTCTGTTTGCGTGGGTAGTGGTCAGTCTGACAGCTTTGGGGTGGAGAATGGTCTACGCCAGGGTTGCACCCTGGCTCCGATGTTGTTCAACCTCTACTTCTCTGCCGTCCTTGCACACTGGCGCTCAACATCCACAGTGCCTAGTTTCCCGATGAAACATCGTATCGGCCGCAAGTTGGTTGGCGACCGTACTGCCAAGCACAGACTCACAGACTTATCCGTATCGGAGTCGCTATTTGCGGATGATGCTGCCCTGTATACCACTTCGTACGAGCACGTGGAGACGATGGTGAAGGAATTTACGCAGTGTGCGTTAGGCTGGGGCCTGACTGTTAGTGTGCAGAAGACGAAGTTCTTGGCGGTCGGTCCGAGTGTCATCCGTGCTGATATTGTGGTGCCTGGGAGTGCTGGCGACGTGATCGGCGTGGTCAGCGATTTTACCTACCTCGGCAGTACGATCAGCGCCGATGGAGAGCTGGATGCCGAAGTCACAACTCGTCTCGCCATGGCATCGAGGGCGTTTGGTAGCCTCCTCCAACCAATTTTCCGGAACTCGGGTCTATCGCTTGGAATCCGACGTCAGGTCTACCAGGCCGTGGTCCTTACAGTGCTGCTGTATGGTTCTGAGACATGGACGCTGAAGGCACGCCTCCTGCGCAGGTTGGACACGTTCCATCGACAGTGTGTTCGCACGATCCTGAGTGTTACCCGAGACCAGCAGTGGCAGGAACACCTGTCAAGTGAAGACTTGGCGAAGCGCAGCGGCATGCCAGCCTCGCTGGAGGAGGCCATTCGTGCGAATCGCCTGCGATGGCTTGGTCACCTCGCAAGGATGGACGACACCAGGTTGCCAATGCAGATCCTGTTTGCGGAGGGCACTAACACGCAGCCCCGCCATGGACCCAAGCGTCGTTGGAGAGATGTGGCAGCTTCAGACCTGCGTGCGACCGGTATCCCGGAGGCACAATGGTACCACCTTGCTCAGGACCGGAGGGACTGGCGCGAACGTAGCCGTCGGAAGCCACCAAGCCAGCCCCAACCAAGAGTGTTCGTCTGTGTCTGCGGCCGCGACTTTCGCCGTCCGAATGATTTATCCCGACACAAGAACTACTGCCTCGCCTAATAGCTATCATCGCCGACTATCATCGCCTTTGGCGATGGGCTTTCCAAAGATCCAAAGGTGTGTGTGTGTATGTGTGTGTGTGTATGTATGTGTGTATGTGTAGACGCGCACGCATGTGTGTGTTAACTTACTGAGGCATTGGGAGCCGGTCCACGGTGGATTGCACAGGCAGATGAACCCAGCCGCCTGAGTTGCATCCGTATAACAAGTACCATTGTTAGCACATGGAAATGCACTGCACGCATCATGATACACTGCTGTTGGTGTAGTGTTCTCTACTGGACTACTACTAGCAGCAGCAGTAGGGTAGGAAGTAGTCGCAGCCACTGGCATGTAGGCTAAAGAGGGCAGGAGATGATGATATAGTACATACACACACACACACACACACACACACACACACACACACACACACACACACACACACACACACACACACACACACACACACACACACACACACACACACACACACACACACACACACACACACACACACACACACACACACACACACACACACACACACACACACACACACACACACACATACATATACTAACACTCGCATGCAAACAAACACATGCAACATACGCATGTGTTTGTAGTATGCAGTGCACACCAGCGCCTTATTTCATGGAACATTTGCGTTACAGATTCTAAGCAAGTGTTGGAGCTAACGGGTGAGTGAGCTAACGGGTGAGTGAGCTAACGGGTGAAAGAAATGAACACAAGAAAACACAGAAACCGGTCTGTGAATTTGTTCTTCTTTTTTCTACAAGTCCCCATGGTCTCCAATCTGGTTAGAATTGAGGAGCGAAAGGGTGGTGAGACCTAGTGTATTCGGCCGACCTGAGGTGTTTTTTAAATTTTTTGACTAAAAGCCACGTGGTGCATGCAACGGGAACACACAGCAGCCATGGTGGTGGGGGGGGGGGGGGGGGCAGGCGCTCCGCCGACCAACTGGTCTCGACATCGTCACGCTCTGGACGCACCAGATAAATGGAAGTACGAGGGAAAGAGAAAGAAGAGGGTGTGTGAACTCACTTTCGCATCTGTCCCCGGTAAAGTACGCCGGACACGAGCATATGAATCCGTTCAGGCTGGGAACTGTGATGCATGTGGCGGCGGGATGTAGGCATGGCGATGACACACACGGGTCTGGGAGCGGCGTATTGGAGGCCGGCGTTGTTATCACCTCTGGTGATGTAGCTAAAGGCTGAGCAGAGGTGGAATAGGCTGGAGAGGGCAGAAGAAAGACAAAAAAATCTCGGTTTGCGTGCGACGTGGATGGAGGCTGAGTTTTCCGCACCCGTAGGAGCGACACCAAGAGTACATGAAAACCAGAGTGTGCAGCTTGGGGCCTTTTCTGCTATGGGTGTCCGTCACGGCGGAATTCCGTGATTACATCATATTATTTTGGCGCAGATCTGAGGCGGGAAATGGCGTAGTGCGTACAACTGAGCTGCAGTTGTGCAGAAAGAGACCTGCTTGAATCCTGCTTGTACGCACTACATCACTAAAATGATGAAATCACGGAATTCCGCCGTGACAGCAACCCATCCGAGCTGCACACTCTGGTTTTCATGTACTCTTGGCGACACCCACCCTCTATGGATCAACACGCAGACGCAACTCCCAAGAAAATACTGTAACTCCTGTCAAGGCGGCCACTCTTGACTACTTTTGCAAGAAGCACACTATGACCAGGACTGGGGGGGGGGGGGGGGGGGGTATTTCCAGTCAAATGACATCCTGCACAAGAAGGCTACAGGTCTATGCTCTTTAGTACAACATAGGTTACAAGACAACCATCCAAAATCTACTGACGCCTGAAACGCGTACATTCACATCCGGATAGTAGATAATACTCGTATAAGACGAAGAACTTATCTACTAACAAGGGTAGACCTGTACCTTAGCAAAAATATCACTAGAACCAGGACCGGGGGGGGGGGGGGGGGGTATTTCCCTAATTTACAGTCAAATGACCCTGCACAAGATGACTACCTGTACACGGGGACCCGGTTTGGAAGGTCCTTAGTACATCGGCGTATTCAGACTTTACTGAACACTCATTGGTTTGAGGGAAAGATGCAAACGGGAAAAGTCCGAAGAAAGATCGTTCTTCGGTGCTCCGTTCTTCGGTGCTCCGTTCTTCGGTGCTCCGTTCTTCGGTGCTCTGTTCTTCGGTGCTCCGTTCTTCGGTGCTCCGTTCTTCGGTCCCCGACAGTACTGTTAACTTTGCGTAAAACGACACTCGGCGGGGCATCAGAAAAGTGTCCTTATACCCGAAGTCTCATTATATGTATTACAGTTAGATGGGACTTGCTCTGGGCATGGAAATTCTGTCGTTATTCACGAATTGTCGTTATATCCGCAGTCGTTATTAGCGAAGTTGACAGTGCTGCAGCAACAGACTTACTCAAGCATCGGTAGCCACTCCACGGTGCCACGCACACGCACAGGAATCCCGGCGGTGACTGCGTGCCGTCCAGATAGCACGTACCGTCGTACGCACACGGGTTGCTGCTGCATGCGTCGGTGGCCGAGGGTGTTGTCGGTGGCTGAGCTGCAGAGCCGCTGCCAGTTGTTTGTGCGGTCGTGTGAAGCAGGTCAGCTGCAACGCAGAAGTGCGCAGATATTTTGAATCAGCTGCACAGAATAATCATCCTTTTGTCAATTTTTGTGTCAACAATACTGGAGTCAACTGGTACCCCTTTTTTGCCGAAATGTTGTAATTGATTGATAAACAAGTTCGATGTAGTTGCAGAATGAATAGGAAAGAGTGGATCTGCTCTAAAAACTACTTTCTATAATGTAATTATTGCAATGGGTCGTTTCCATAAATGTTCCATGAATCGGAATCGAGCTCCGACCTTCCCACACAATCTGCACTGGGCAGCCTTATCCAAGAGTTTCTTTTGCAGCACTGATAAAAGTTTGCAATCGACCTCAATGTTGCTAAGGCTAGGAACCACCATCATACATAGGCCTGATAAGTGCACACTACAACTTTCAAGGGGGGGGGGGGGCAATGAATTTAGCTCAAAAGTTAACAATGACAACTCAAACTTGTGTGAGTGTGCGTGCGTGCCCGTGTGCATGTGTGAGTGTGTGTGTGTGTGTGTATGTGTGTGTGCATGTGTGAGTGTGTGTGAGTGTGTGTATGTGCATGCGCACACGTGTGTGTGTGTGTGTGTGTGTGTGTGTGTGTGTGTGTGTGTCTGTGTGTCTGTGTGATTGCATCATGGCAAGTCTGGATCTCTTTTATGCAGACCTTGCTTGCTAGCGGTGCTATTCGAGAGATTTGTTGGTGTACTATGCAGTGAACTTGCTGACTTTCGAGCTTCACTTGCGACAGATCTACACGAGGTGTTTCGGATAGTCACCATATAAGCCATAAGCACACGCCCATCACAGTACAGTGAAATCTCTCCAAGGCGACCTCTCAAGGGACGAGAAAAAGTGGTCATCGTGGCCAGGTGGTCTTCTTATCCAGTTTCACTGGGTCACGTGACCATATCCACATGATTGTGATACATCATCTTGATCAGTGTATCACAGTGCACACACGTATGCCACTCTAGCACGACTCATGTGCCTGGGGTCCTCAGCCCTGTCAAATGTCGTGCATGCACCATGTACATCTACACTTCCTGCATGCACTGATGTGTAGATCTACCATGCCTGGTGCACCATGCAATACGTACATTTACATGTACTAGCACTGTGCAACGCGGTCGCGGGTCGGTGGTCGCCGGTCGCGTTGAGCAAGCGGTCGCCTTATCCGAGGTGCTTTGAATGTGAATGCGTCCGTGACAAGGAAAAGTGGTTGCCATGGTTGAGTGGTCGTCATATCCTACTTCTTGACCATGGAAAAATTTATTTTCTGATACCACACACATACGCTGCTAAATTGGCACCTCTACGTCTAAACACGGAAATTGTACACATGCAAATCGTCAGAGTTCCGACATTGACATGATACTGCCAAAACAAGTCGACTTCGGAGCGGAAACAAACGCCATAGCCATCACAAACTTCAGTGGCCATGCCTCGCTCGCAAATGAGAGCAGCATCGCCCCAGAATCGCTGTCGGAAAGCTCCGTAAGGTCGCACGCAAGCCGCGCTGCGCTGCCGTCACTCAGGTACGTAGAAAGTCGATGGGCTAAAATTCCGTCTCTGGGAGACTGTCGACACAGGAATTGCTCTCCATGGCTTCCCCACCATAAGCACCATCGGATTCTTCCAGTTACATCACGACGACATCGTCTTCAGCGGCTGGCGCTCCCCATATTTGCGTGAGAATTTACTTGGCGTGCGCACCGCTCCGTAATTTGAAATTCGCTTGCATCGGCGGCTGGAACGAAGTATTTATCTATCTGTCGTCGGTTCCAGAGCGAATGACTGCTAGGTCGTCGTCGGAGAAGTCATCCGAGGACGAAAGGAACTCACTGCGCAAGAGAAAATGCACCCGACGATGTTTTGACGGAGGCGGACGGCATTGTCGGCGCGCGTGTATTTCCGTAAGTTTTCGATCGCGCAGTTCTCAATGAAATGAAATGGGACACGCGTGGATCTCTTCAGCTACCGATAGGATCATACCTAGGCTGTTTGAGGGCCACGGGAAATCCCCGTGGGCTGATGCTTCCCGTCATGCCAGGCATGGTTTTGTATGCCTGTCGAATGCGTCAACGTTGACGCATTCAAGTATGGGGCTGCCGGTAAAGGGTTATTACACTGAACCCAGTGCTGCCATTTCTTCCAATTTTCGGAAACGCTCTGATTTTCACAGATGGTTTCCACAAACTGACCGAAAACAATCTTCACTTTCTCACTGGGATTGTTCGCAAAAGTGCCGTAATCTGTTGCCTAATCTAAAGAATCCTAAAAATGCCCTGGCTTATACAGGGAACGTGGGTGGCCTCCTTACCCCTCGGCCCCTGGCCGGGGGGGGGGGGGGGGCACCCACGGATCACGACAGAAACGTGGCATCCCTGGAAACCTGTCTAAGGCAACTGCTCAGCGGACCTGATCAACATGGTCTCCGTGTGCAGGTGGTCTCCTTATCCAGGGTCATTAGACTGTAGTTAGCTAACAGTTAGCAGTTAGCTAACACCCTTTGATCCTCGTTGTACTGGTCTACTGGGACAGGTGGTCACCTTATCAGGGAGGTCATCGCCTTGACAAGTTTAATCTTCATTCCGCTGGCATCTCATCATCTTATGTTGAGGACTACTTCCTCCGGAAACAAAAACTTCGTGACTTTTTTCACTACTATTCGCTGCGGTTATTTCGCTCTTTCTCCCTGGTTCTGTCAACCTGGAACACTGACATGACATTTCGGAATCGCAGAAAAGCATAATTCATATTCTGGAGAGCCGATAGTCGTCGCAGAGCAAGGGTGTCGACGTTGCAAACAAAGCAAAGCGAACATATTTTTCTCATTTTCGTCCACCAGGCGCAATGAGAAGAAAAAAAGCACTGCGCTCACTGCTCGCCGTTGCTATGTTTTGTAACTTTTAGTTCAGAACTTGACAGAGCAGGACAGTGGCACCCAGGAGCAAGAAGAGTGGAAAATGAATAGCAATAGCAGCTAGCGTTTTGAAATCTTCATGGGGAGTTTAGAGAGGCCCCGACACAAGCAAAACACATATTCTTTGATTGTTGGTATACTACTGACCGGTTTCATACTTCAAAAGAGTAATCATCAGAGTGGAGGTAATGAAAAAGTAATCAAAGTAACACAATTTATACTGGGAAGGCGGTTACCCGCAAATGTAACTATAGTACAAGTGGGCCACCAAAAAGCTAGGGGCCCCAAGTGCGGGGGGGGGGGGGGGTCCTATACTACGACTTAGTAGAAAATGCGTATGTGTAATTGGAATTTCTCAGAAATCTACAACTGTGTACATGCCATGCAAGACGTATTATGCAAAAATGGATAATTTTGTTGTATTATGCCAAGAATGGATAATCATGGTTGTCTGGCTAGTTGCATGCAAGTTAAATAGTACAAATGGTACGAATTATTTGTACAAGTCAATATTTGGTAGTGACAGCAAATTTGTTGGCACTACCAAAATGCAGGACAGGGCCTGCACTGAAGAAATATTTAACTATGGATTTAGAGAAGGGAGAGCAATGACTTAGTGGAAGAGTTGTGTTCCAGGCAAGAATTCAAATTCCGATACACGTGCACAGGCACACTCTCCGAACGCAAATGGGACAACACACCATTACTAGACGTTCTGGATTTCTCCTTGCAAACACACTTCAACCATAACCGGCATAACTCTAAAACCAAAACTGCAAAAGGAAGCAAAAAAGGGCCAGCAAAGGCACAGCGCGCTTGCGCCACGACATACACGGACACGTGACACAAAAGGCATCATAGCTAGTGCGAGCATGACTCATAGTCATAGCTCAGTCATACAGCACAGCGCAGTTGTACAAGCACATGATCGCGGGTACAAAGGGTTTCAAAAATACAAATAAATTATCATGAGAGCAGCTCAAACAACTACACGTTCGAAGCAGAAACAGAATAGAAGAGAGACAGAGAAGCAGAGTAGAACACGACTAGACAGAAGGAGAGAATTATGATTCCAATTATCAACGTCAGTAGAACAATAGCATGGCTGAAAACTGGAGCATCTCCACGTGCGCGCTCGCAGCAATGTGACTCAGAGACAGAGGAAGATGAATAAATAAACAGACAAGGTAAGGTCAAAACGAGAATCATTCAAGAGGCTGTCTTGAAACATTTACAGAACAGGTGAGTGGCGACAACATTCTCCCACCTGCTAACGGATGCAGTTAGCCAACACATGACTCATGCACGGACATCAAGCACGCAGATGCGCGACACCGGGCGACGGAACGTTCCCATCGCTGTGCGGACGTCCACAATGCGGATCTTGCCATCCTTTCCGGGGTACACATTCTCCACAATGCCCTTCGGCCAGCAGCTTCGGGCCAACTGTGGATCAGCAATGACGACAACGTCGTTAACCTTGATCGGTTCTGCCGCCTTTAACCACTTGGTCCGGCGCGTTAGCGTGGGGAGATACTCTCGGACCCAGCGCTGCCAGAACATATCGATCATGGCCTGGGAAATCCGCCACTGCTTCCTCAGGCACTTCTCATCAAACTTCCCTGGCGCAACAGCTCGGTGGTTGCCGCCGAGCAGAAAGTGATTCGGCGTCAGACTCTCAGCATCAGCATGGTCGATAGAAACGTGCGTCAGTGGCCGGCCATTTACGATGCACTCTGCCTCGGCCATGACGGTGGTCAGCACCTCGTCACGTGGCGTCCGTTCCTTGAGAGTCGCTTTCAGGGCGATCTTTACTGAGCGCACTAAGCGCTCCCAAGCGCCACCCATGTGGGGCGCGGCAGGAGGGTTGAAGACCCACTTGATGTTTCTGGGCGTCAGCTCACGCATGAGGTCACCGACATCTAGCGCTGCAATCGCCTCTGCGAGCTCCCGTTCAGCTCCTTTGAAATTCGTGCCATTGTCCGAATACAGTACAGCAGGGTATCCGCGCCGAGCGATCATGCGGCGGATAGCCATGATACACGAGTCGGTTGTCAGGCTGGAGGCTATTTCCAGGTGCACGGCTCGAACGGTCAAACACGTGAATAGAACGCCATATCGTTTCTCGCGTCGACGCCCGACAGTCACCTCAATTGGACCAAAGTAGTCAACTCCCGTGTGGGAGAACGGGCGCTCATACGCTGCGGTTCTGCACTCCGGTAGCGGCGCCATTACCGGTGGCTGCGGTGTGGCTGCGAGGTGACGGCACCTCAAACAGGAGTTCCAGGCACGGCGAACAGCGGCTCGAGATCTGGGAATCCAGTACTGCTGGCGTAAATCGTTCCGAACTTGTTCCTGCCCTTGATGACCTGCCCAGACGTGGTGCTGCAGGATGAGTAATCGGGTGTAGCGGTGGTCAGGGTCGAGTAACACTGGACGCTTTGTAGACTCAGGCAAGTGAGGCGTGTTGTCTGTTCTCCCGTGAACCACTATGGTGCTGTCCAATAGGGTCAGCGTCAGCGATGCCAGGCGGCTGCTGCGGGTGACTGGCTTGCCCTGCTGCAGCGCGGCGAGTTCGTCAGGGAACGACTGTTGCTGCACGTTCTCCCACCAGAGCTGCTGGGCGTGTCGGAACTCTGATGGCAACAGTTCGCTACTGGGATTCACGGCTTTCTTGGCAACTCTAGCCTTCAGGCGCTCAACGAAGCGGGTCACCCAGGCTGTGGTGCGAACCAGACGCATCCATGACGAAAACCTGGCGATATCGGGGAGCGCTTCCTGCAGGGACGTCGTGGCGACAGTGGCCCCGCAGAACTCTCGCTTCAGCTCGGGGTCCGTGTCCTCTGGCTCCACTTCAGGAGCGGCGGATGGCCAACTAGCTGGTTGGTTGCGCAGAAAGTTGGGCCCTTGCAGCCAACGTGTCGATTCGACGATTTCCATAACAGGTACGCCGCGGGAGAGGTCATCAGCTACGTTGTCAGCAGTGGGTACCCAGCGCCAGTTGGACTCGTTGGTGAGCTCCTTGATCTCGCCGACGCGGTGTGCCACAAACGGCTTGTAGCACCTGGCATCAGCTCGTATCCAGCTCAGGGCGGTCTGAGAATCGGACCACAGAACGGACTTGCAGCAGTCGAAGCTGTGATGCTGCAGAACAGCTGACGATAGGCGTGCGCCCAGAACGGCAGCTTGCAGCTCGAGTCTAGGGATGGACAGTGGCTTGAGTGGCGCTACTCTGGTCTTCGCCATCACTAACGATGTTGCGACGGACCCATTGCTCAACTGAAAACGCCAGTATGAGGCAGCACCGAAAGCTTTCTCACTCGCGTCGCAGAACGTGTGCAGCTCAATACTGGTAGCGTCGGCAACAGCTAGTGAGTAGCAGCGTGGGATGTTGACTTTGCAAAGCGATTGCAAGTCTTGGCACCATTCATCCCACCTGCCCTTGATAGAAGTGGGCAGCTCATCGTCCCAGCCAATACCAGAGCGCCAGATGTCCTGTAGTAGTACTCGGGCTCGGATGGTGAAGCAGGCAAGTAGTCCGAGCGGATCAAACACCGCCATCACTGTGCTGAGAGCTTGCCGCTTGGTCATGGACTTTCCAGGGCGGCTGATCTTTGCTGCGGCTGGCTGGACTCGTAGCGTGTCTGTCGCTGTGTCCCAGCGCAGGCCAAGCGTTCGCTCAACAGCATGGGCATGCTCAACATCAAGGTCAACGGTTGTTGTGTTGGCTCTTAGCGCTTCTGGTACAGATGCCAGAACGGCTGGCGAGTTGCTGATCCAATGACGGATGACGAAGCCTCCGTCCTTGTGGATGCGGATGACGTCAGCAGACAGTGAGGTGGCTTCTTCAACGGTGTCTGTTGAGTC